GGCTATGACTCAGGGACAAAACAGCTAGAGCCACCAATGAAGCATGGCTCCTCTAGAGCAGCAGCTCATAAGCCTAATTTCATTTCAGAGTTACCTGAGAACCCTTTTAGAAACTCTGATGCCTAAACCCAACCATTGAGCTTCTGATTTAATTGGTTTGAAGCGGGCCTCAAAAATCACATTTCTTAAAAATTCCCCAAGTGATCCTACTGGGCAACCTGGGTGGAGCAGCATTGCTTTAGAGCAGCGGTTCTCAACTTGTGGGTCGCGACCCCTTTGGCGGTCGAACGACCCTTTCACAGGGGTTGCCTAAGACCATCCTGCATATCAGATATTTACATTATGATTCATAACAGTAGCAACATTACAGTTATGAAGTAGCAACGAAAATAATTTTATGGTTGGGTCACAACATGAGGAACCGTATTTAAAGGGCCAGAAGGTTGAGAACCACTGCTTTAGAGGAAGAGTATGGAGAAATAGAGCTGCCACAGATCTGGAAGAGGAAGTGTTGGTTTCCAGGTGACTCTGGGCGGGTCATCTCTTTCTCTATATCTCTATATTTTCAAAGGCAAAATGAGCTACCAAGGCTGCTAGAAACACAGAAAAAGAAAAATGGCTGTGAAGCACTGCAAGGTCATTCAGTATTATACAGATACTAGAGGCCCGGTGCACAAAAATTTGTGCACTCGGGGGGGGGTCCTTCAGCCCGGCCTATGCCCTCTTGCAGTGTGGGACCCCTCGGAGGATGTCCACCCCAGTGGGGACACTCACCCCATGGAGGTTTGGCCAGTCTGGGTGAGGGGCTGAGGGCCGTTTTCAGGCTGGCCAAGCTCCCTGGTGACGTAAGCTCCCAGCCTCTCCTTTTTTTCTTTTTATTTTGGGATTTATTTACCTTCTATAATTGAAACTTTGTTGCCTTTAGCGGAGGCCTGCGGAAAGCTTGGCTTCCTCCATCGCCAGGGCAACCCACTCCTGCTCGCTCCAGCTCCGTGGCCACTGCTAGCTGAAAGCAGGTACCTGGGGTTTGTTTACCTTCTATAATTGAAACTTTGTTGCTTTCAGTGGAGCTCAGAGCTGGCTACAGCAGGCGGGGAAGCTTGGCTTCCTCCAACACTGGAGCAAGCAAACCTCCTGCTCGCTCCAGTTCCATGGCTGCTGGCCGCCATCTTGGTTGGGTTAATTTGCATATATTATTCGCTCTGATTGGCTGGTGGGTGTGGCTTAAGGTGTAGCGAAGGTATGGTCAATTTGCATGTTTGTATTTTATTAGTGTAGATTTATTTAATACACCACTAGGACCTTCAATCTTTTAGGTCTGGTTTGGTATTTTGTACAGAACCACCCCTCTTCCTCCCCCCACACAAAAATTAACATAACCCAAATGAAAACTCACATTTTCATGGTAACAATTTATCTAAAGTGAAAAAAAAAGCAATTAGAAAAGATGGCGATTCCCCTCTAATGGGAAATGGTCCCAGAGAGATGGACTGGTAACTACAGGAGCAAAGGTCCTTCATTCACTCTCATTTTACCTAATTACTATGTTCTCAACTATTTAACCAACATGAAAGGACATCCAATCTCATTCTTGCTAGAGCAGGCTGGAATTCTGGGCCAGAAGTAATTTAGCACCCCCAATTTTTTTAAAATGTATTTTATTGTTTTTTTACAGAGAGGAAGGGAGAGGAATAGAGAGTCAGAAACATCGATGAGAGAGAAACATTGATCAGCTGCCTCCTGCACACCCCCTACTGGGGATATGCCCGCAACCAAGGTACATGCCCTTGACTGGAATCGAACCTGGGACCCTTGAGTCCGCAGGCTGACGCTCTATCCACTGAGCCAAACCGGTTAGGGCAGCACCCCAAATTTTTACCATCTAACAAAATGTGTCCTCTCACTTCAGAGCTCTTTTGAAAGGTCTTCAGGTCCTAAATTAACTTATCCTGCCAACTTTAAATACTCTATTCCTTCAAGGGAGATGTCTCCAGCACCCAATTTATTGCTCTTAAATATAAATTTATAATAAAACATGAATTAGCTTATCCTGATAGATAATTATAAGGCCAAGTCAATGTCTGAACAAACTTAAAAATAAGTCTGGTTAAAAGAAAGGAGTGTTTCCTAATGCAAACACTATGCTTCCAGGACCAGCACTAAAAATCCACCTAAACATTTGCAATCTGTTTTCTGAAATTATAATTTCCAGCAGATCTGAGCTGGTATATGTACTGTCATCTGTCACTTTCCATTAATGATGAGTCTTTCCCTCCAGCCGAGGGAAACACCTGCTCTAGGGACACGCTGGGCTGAATTCAGAGAGGCTGACACTTTCTCTCAGAGCCCAGCTGCCCTCGGTTGCAGGTTACAGCCTGGTCAGAGGTCCTTTCAGCTTCCTGCCATCCAAGACAAGGAGGAAGAAGTCTGGGTGATGAGAACTGCTTTCTACCAACTTGAGGCAATGCTATTCATGCAAGATTTCCTGCACAAAAACCAATAACTAAGAAATCAGACAAGTATAGTACTAGTCATCCTATTTCTTATTTTCAGTTATTCAACCTTTAAAGCCACAGTGCCCTTATAATGCACATCTAGGACAAGCTTCTGAGTTCATGAGGCCAATGAGGTTAAACAATTTATCTAATGGCCATGGAAACCTCTGAGGCAGGGCCTGAATTCAAGTCTTCTAGCTCCATGTCTCCCATACTGCATTATCTTGGCAATATCTCATGGGACATTTTTAGTGCCAGGTCAGTTTCCTGGTCATGGCCAAATTGGTAACCACTGTCCAGTGAAATGAGCATTGGGCTGAGAATGAGAAGACATGGGTTTGCTGGCATTGCTCTGCGTGTGTGTCTGAGATCTTTAAGAGGTCTGACCTCTTAACTAATTTCTGCTTCAATGTGTCCTTCCCACTCCCTGGCAAATCCCCAGATGCTGACTCAGTTCTACCATCTGCCTCTTCTTGCTCTCGGCGTAGCCAGTGTTGAAAGGCATTAGAATGGGGTTGATGAGTGCCACTAGAAATCCATGGTCTGCAGTCTCAATGCTGCTCAATCATCTCTTCCTGAATTCTCTAATAATCTTAGTATCAGTTTTTTTTGCTTCTATGCTTGCTTCCTTCCAAACTATTTTTCATAAAGCAGTCAGAATCATCTCTTTACATATACATACAACCATACCACTTCACAGCTCACAACCCTTTAATAGCTTCCCATTGCACTGTGAATAAAATCCAAACTCATTCCATGCCTGTAAGATCCGGCATGTTCTGGCTCTCTTCTCCCTCTCTGACTGCATCACAGTCCATTCTCCTTGCTAGTAGGTTCCAAGCACAACAGTCCTCTTCAGTTCCTTACACATGCCAGATTTGCCTTTCCTTCCTTTATGGAATGAATGTTTGTATCCCCCAAAACTTATACATTGAAGCCCTACCCCTCAGTGTGGTTTTATTAGGAGATGGGCCCCTAAGTAAATAATTAAGGTTAAATAAGGTCCTAGGGGTGGAGCCCTGGTCTGAAATGATTAATGTTCTCATAAGACACATCAGAGAGCTAGTGTGAGCACTCCCCTGCTCCTTGCCTCTCTGTGCAAACACCAGGGAAAGGCCATGTGAGGACACAGCAGGAAGAAGTGTCTACAGGCCAGGAAAGAGAGCCCTCATTAGAAACCCAATTTTTCAGCATCTTGATCCTGGACTTCTAGCCTCCAGACTGTGAGAAAAGTTAATTCCTGTTGTTTAAGCCACCTCGTCTGTGGTATTTTGTTATAGCAGCCCAAGCAGACTTATGTACTGCCTGAGAGTTTTTAACATATGCTATTTCCTTTTAGGAGCTTCCACTCCCCTTTTCTTCCTTCCCTTCTTCTCTTTCTCTACTTCCTTACTTCTCATTCTAATATGTCCTCTAATAGACCACTCTAATGAAACAGCTCTCCCAAAGGTCACCAATTATTACTATTTTACCAAAACCAATGGATTTTTAAAAATATGTTTTTATTTGTTTAGAGAGAAGGGGAGGGAGAAAGAGATAGAGTGATCAGCTGCCTCCTACATGATCCCTGGTGGGAGTCCACAACCCAGGCAAGTGCCCTGACTGGGAATTGAATTGGTGACCTCTTGGTGCATGGGTTGATGCTCAACCACTGAGCCACACTGGCCGGGCCCAATGGATGTTTATCATCTTATATTACTGGGCCATCTCCATCACATGTAACACTGTAGACCCCTCAATTCCTAAATCCTCTACTTTCTTGGCTTTGATTTCATTACTTTCTCCAGGTATTTCTCTAAATATTTCCTCAAGATTTCCTTCCTGAGCTGCTTAAATGTTAGTGTTCCACTGGATTTTGTTCTTGGCCCATAGTTCTTTTCTATATTATACTTTCCTTGGATAATCTCATCTGTTCTCCTTGCTTTAATTCTTATTATGTTGATGATTCCCAAATCTATCTCATCCTCTAAAACAGATTTCAATATCCAACTGCCTGCTAATCCACTCTACTTGGATGTCTATAGCAGTGGTTCTCAACCTTCTGGCCCTTTAAATACAGTTCCTCATGTTGTAACCCCCAACCATAAAATTATTTTTGTTGCTACTTCATAACTGTAATTTTGCTACTGTTATGAATCATAATGTAAATATCTGATATGCAGGATGGTCTTAGGCGACCCCTGTGAAAGGGTCGTTCGACCCCCAAAGGGGTCGCGACCCACAGGTTGAGAACCACTGGTCTATAGGCATCTTACACTCAAGATAGCTACAACTGAACTCTTTATCTTCCCTATAAACCAACCTCTCTTTTTAAATTCTGTCTCAGTTCATGGTGTCACCCTTTGTCCAAATAAGAAACCTAGTGTCATTCTGGGCTCTCCCTTTCTCCTTATCCACTGCTCATTTTTTCAGGTACCAGAGACGAATTAGTCGTAACCTTTGGTCCACGACACCGTATGTTTCCATGGTTTGGCTCTTTTTCTTCCTCTAGGCAAAGATACCTACCTTTCCTTCTTTGAAGTGCTTCTTGAGTTGCTTCTGCATGGCAGTCAGCTTCTTGGACTGCACCCCACTGTAGGCCAGCAGCATTCCACCGAACTGCCTCTCAGTAATTCTCCCATCCACAGGGTCATGGCGTTCAAACTGAGAGGGAAACAGAAAGAGTGTTCTTGGGGTCAAATAGAAAGTACTTTGATATGGAATGTGGGATGATCAACTGTGTTGGATGGCAGAAAATAGTTGATGGCCAGGATTGTATTTCTGAACTACATTTCTCACCGAGATTTAAAAAAATTAATCAGAAAGACAAGATCTGGGTTCTTCTCCAACTCTGCCACTGAACAATTTATGTAATCAGGAGAGTAACCCAGCTACTCTCGGCCTCAATTTCCTGATAGATAAAGCACAGCTGCTGTGACATCTCATATACCTTACAGGTCAGGAGCATGTTTGCAGAGATCAAAACAATGTTAAAACTCTATTCTAATTCATGAGTAATATCATTGGTAATAAGTAATCTTTGGTCTATCTTTATCTTTGCTACTCAGAGAAGACTTAAAATCTAATTATTAGCCCTAACCGGTTTGGCTCAGTGGACAGAGCGTTGGCCTGCGGACTCAAGGGTCCCAGGTTCGATTCCAGTCAAGGGCATGTCCTTGGTTGCGAGCACATACCCAATGGGGAGTGTGCAGGAGGCAGCTGATCGATGTTTCTCTCTCATTGTTTCTAACTCTCTAACCCTCTCCTTTCCTCTCTGTAAAAAATCAATAAAACATATTTAAAAAAATCTAATTATTATATATTTGATTAATTATCCTATCTAATAATAGACAAACATGGTAATTGACCATACCTCCGCTACACTTCCCATTGGCTAATCAGCAGGGTATGCAAATTAACTGCCAACAAAGATGGCGGCCGGCAGCCACGCAGCTGAAGTGAACATGAGGCTTGCTTGCTCCAGTGATGGAGGAAGCCAAGGTTCCCTGCCTGCCGCGGCCCAGCTCTGAGCTCCAGAAGCAACAATGTTTCAATTATAGCTAAACAAACCCCAATTATAGAAGCTAAACAAACCCCTGCTTTCAGCCAGCCGGGGCCTCAGAGCTTAGAGCGCCAGTGATGGCAACAGAGTTTCAATTACAGAAGCTAAACAAACCCAGATACCTGCTTTCACCCAGCCACGGCCTCAGAGCTGGAGCCGGCTCTCAGCTCCAGTGACAGCTATAGAAGGTAAATAAATCCCAGAATGAAAAAAAAAAGAAAAAAAAAAAGAGGCTGGGAGCTTTAGTTGTCTGCCAGCCTGAAAACGGCCCTCTGCCCCTTACCCAGACTGGCCAGGCACCCCAGTGGGGACCCCCACCCTGAAGGGGGTGTGACCAGCTGCAAACAGCCATCAGCCCGTCATCCAGGCTGGCCAGGCACCCAAGCAGGACCCCCACCCTGATCCAGATCACCCTTCAGGGCAAACCAGCCGGCCCTCACCCGTGCACCAGGCCTCTATCCTATATAGTAAAAGGGTAATATACAAACTGACCCTAACAGCAGAAAGACTGGGAATGACTGGTCACTATGACACACACTGACCATCAGGGGGCAGACGCTCAATGCAGGAGCTGCCCTCTGGTGGTCAGTCCTCACAGGGAGGAGCTCTGCTCAGCCCCAAGCCAGGCTGATGGCTGCCAGTACAGCGGTGGTGGTGGGAGCCTCTCCTGCCTCCTCAGCAGCGCTAAGGATGTCTGACTGCAGCTTAGTTCTGCTCCCTGCTGGCAAATGGACATCCCCCAAGGGCTGCCGGGCTGCCAGAGGGATGTCTGATTGCCATCTTAGGCCCAATCCCCCAGGGAGCAGGCCTAAGCCAGCAAGTGGTCACCCCCGAGGGGTCCCAGACTGCGAGAGGGCACATGCTGGGCTGAGGGACCCCCTACCCCCGAGTGCACAAATTTTTGTGCACCGGGCCTCTAGTACATATATAAAGTCTTATCAGTTCTTCAGTCTGTATTCAGGCCTTTAAGAATTTCAAGTTTGCCCCCAAATGGTAATCAAATGCTAGGACATCAATAGAACTTGGAAAAAAAATGTACAGAGTATAGAATATCTTAATTAGACATGCTTACTTACCATAAAGCTACTGAAAATTTATTAAATGTATTTAAATATGCAGCTGGAAAGGTTAAGTATAAAGGACCTCCAGCTAATCTAAGTAATATCAGAAAACTAAGATTTTAATATAAAAACAGAGACCAGAAAGTTATCTCAATGCCAGCTGCAGTGTTAATGATACTTATAAATACATAGATAATAAACTGGCTAAAGATGGGCCCAGAAACAAATTAGAAAGCAAAATGATTTGAAGATGGTAAAATTTCCCCATGGATTTATTGGAAAATAAAAGTTACTAGGAAACTCTCAGATTCCTATGTGGTGAGACATAATTCTGTTCTCATAAGAGGGGTATGTATACACAGACATAGACATTACTAAGTAAGGTCATATCAACAAACATTTCCCAAGTGTCTACTAGTTGTCTAGCATTGTGTTAGTCTTGTGGGATAAGGAAAGATGATTCAGTTTCTGTTCTTAGGGTCTTCACCATCTAGTAGGGAGATAAGATTTACAGACGAGTCACAAAATAAGTAATAAGTATATAGTCAAGAGTGAAATTCTCTTTTGGTTTTCATTTCCTCAGTTAGCTTATAAGTTGATAGACACCTTAATTTGTTTCTTCATTGGTCAGTGAGCAATACACAAGAACTGCATTTTAACAATAGCAAACATTTACTGAGCATGTACTATGGGCCATGTTCTTTATCCATATTTTCTTTCATTTAGTCATTATAACACCCTATGGAGTAGATATTATCAGCTTCATTTTACAGATGAGAACACTGAGGTAACATGAAGTCCTGGGATTCAAATTCAGCTCTGTCTGGAACCTAGGACTGTATCTCAATATCACACCGTTTCATCCTTCTAAGCAGTAATACATATTCATCCTATAGAACAGCACCATGTTGTTTTGGAAAAACTTATGCAACCAGGGAGCTAAGTCATATTTAAAGTGAGAGGCAAAACAATTTCCAAGGAAATCAATACCATCAATATTAAGTGAAAGCCTCTTTTTTAACTCAGCTACTCAATATTTCAAGTTTGTCACAGCATCACTTCTGCAGAGCTGATTAATTTTTGACACCACCAAAAGTTTCCAGGATTCAATTTAAGTCTGATTTATGATTCATTTTACCATCTTGAAACAAAATGGAGGACTAAAATTTTTTGCTAATGGGCATACTTTCTACAGTGTCTAAATCAGATTTTAGTGAAATGTGATACCCGGACAAAAGCTGGAGATGCAGAGTCTTGTATGGGCTTCTTTAAGGTAAGTGGAGCCAGGCTGTGGTCCCGCCCTCCAGGCTGGGCTCTAACAATTTAGGGCACTCATTTCACCCTTATCTGGAGATGTCACAGCTGAGGAGAAATCCCATATATCTGAATTAGATGCGTTTTAAGCTTTATTCCACAAGATAGATTCAAGGTTGAAATGTTGCTTGTTTATAACATTGGCAGCAGCAGCAGCTTGCTCAAGGCTTAAGGAAACAAAGGCCTGTATTCTTCTGTTCTCCAAAGGGTCATAACATTGCACCTCTATTGTGTTTCAAAGACAGAAAAGATCATTTGCAGTAGAGATGCTCATGTAACAATGCCATACTCAAGTTAGCATTTTTACTAATGTTCTTTGAAAACTCAGACATGTCTTTTTCTCTTAGGGTTAAGTTGTTATTATTTTGATGTAGTTGGAACCTGAAAGGGCTTAAAGACTATAAAATTCATCCCTGGCCAGTTAGTTCACTTAGAGCATTGTCTCGATATACCAAGGTTGTGGGTTCAATTCCCAGTTAGGGCAAGTACAAGAATCAACCAATGAATGCATAATTAAGTGGGACAACAAATCGATGTTCTCTCTCTCTCTAAAAAAGTCAATAAAAAAAAAAAAGACTATAAAATTCACCTCCATGCAGTGTGGGTCATTGCAAAGTTTACTACCTCCTCTGTAATTTGATTTGGGGCAACACCTCTCCTTTTAGGTTTTTAGGCTCTTTTGAGGCAAGACTGCCTTATTTCTGAGGTCTTCAAAATAGCTGGGATGGCAGGGAGAGCTCTTTATCCGCAAAACTGCTAATGAAAAATGACCTAATGTGCTATTCACTAACATTTATTAACTGAGGACTTACTACACTAAGGCTAGGGAGCTTCAAGGACCTTCATTAGGGCAAAATTTTCAAGGGTGATAGCTAGACATCACGTGGCTCGAGATGAAGTGTGTACCGTAAGCCTGTGGGTGTTATTCCTGGAGCACAGTATGCATGTGATCCCCAAGGTCATGAGAGGGTCTTTGGGGAAAGACATATGCTATTACAAAATTATCACAATGCAGAACGCTTCTAATTATATATTTGGAAGCAATTCAAATGACTGGTTTGTATTTTAAGTAGTTGAACACTGACAAAGCCTCTTAATGTTCCACTGCAACGGCAATGAAGGAGACTCTATTCCATTTGACACTATGGCACAGCAACTCCCCCTTCCAGTGCACCACTAACCATTTGCATTGCTTTTCTGTGTCTAAGAGAAGCCCAGCATTTTCTCTTCCGCAGCCCTGCCACTTTCTCAAATGGATACAAGCTGTTGTCGCTGTTGTTCCCCAGGGAGCTGCAGGGCAGGCACAGGGGGCCAGAGAAGAGGAGCCAAAAAACTGTCTGCAAGATTTTTCCTGGCTTTCTGTCCATATTGTGCTTCTTGTTCCCAGCCCTGCCCCTTGCTGAGAGAAAACATTGCCTTTTGGAAGGACAGATGGTCCACATATATCTAATCAGCGTTTTTTAACTGGTATGCCTCAAGAATTTTTAAAACATGCAATACCTGACTATTTAGTCAGGGGCATTGACCTCTTTTCCCTTAGATTGTCAAATTTAAAAAAATGACAACAGCCAACACAACAATAGTCACTCGGTGTGAATGAGTCAAAGAGTCAAAATCATACCTAAGTTTTTGGTCAGATCGGCAAAAAAATATAGTGAATGAGTCAAAGAGTCAAAATCATACCTAAGTTTTTGGTCAGATCGGCAAAAAAAATATAACATTTTTTG